ATGGAGAGTGTTGCAATAAAATGCTGGATTCGATCATGTGTTATTTTGATACACGGGCTAACCCCCAGTAAACCAGTGTTGGTGGTGTTAGTTCGCAATGCACATTATACTGATGATAATCAGGCTTCTATCTAAGTTTCTTAATACCCTAAACTGCAATCTTTTGATTTGAAACACTTTCCATAAAGTTATCAAATAGATCCTCACAAGGATCTTTATTCTCCAGAATCTCCATAGTAAATCGTCAAAAGTAGTTGGATATGATTTCATAGCATATGAAACTATCACTTGGAGTGTCCGAGGTGATGATAGAGTGAATGCCTTGATCTTAAATACTATTTTGTCATTTCCACCTCAATACTCAAAGGAGAGCTTTCACTTAGCATCTCCAAAAAGTAAAATCATTCTCCATCCCTATCTATCTATTCCAGAACTTGTGTCCTTTATTCCTTTACTGCATTCAGAAAGCCCCCATTACCACAATTGCTTAAGTCAGGAACCCCAGAGATTGGTAACCATTTCTAAAAGTTTTTTCTTTTACATAACCCCTCAGATTCAGCTTTCCAACAGTCCAACCCAACCTCAAATCTAGTTCTTATTTCCTTTCATGTGAATTTCTAGAACAAACCCCACAGGTCTCTCTGGCCTTCTGGTTGTGTCACTCCCCTTTCTACAAGAATGTGCTAAATTCTTTGGGCTTACAGACCCCTCATAAGTTCTGCCTGCATTTTTAGCGATAACTCTTGCCACTTCTGGATTGCAACATTTGCTGCAGCCACACAAAGCTGCTTGTTGTTTTCCAAGCATCCTAAGCTATTTCACACATCTGTGACTGCAAATGTCATGCCCTCTGATGGGATATTTTCTGGCCTTCTCTAATAGGCAAATTCCTTTTGCTTTCAGACTCCGTTTATATGTCATGTCATTTACAAAGTTTTCCTTGATCTCACCTTCATGACCCCTCATAGGTAACTTTATTTCAGCAGTGACTTTGAGTTTACATCCGTCATCTCAACAAGACAACTCTTTGTATGTCACACCCCCAAAACAAAGGCACAGACATAATAGGTGTTCACGTGTGCTGGATGAATTAATAATTCTAAATACCATTCTGGCTGCAATGCCTGGTATTATCATAATTGGGAGGATGCCATATCTGTATCTCAGTACCCATCCTGCGATGCCCAGTGGGTAGAAAATGGCATTTATTGTCATTTCCTTCATGAGGGAAAATGTAATATCTTTCAGCAGTTTGTTGGATAACTTGAAAATAAAACAGTACTTTAATATTGAACCTGTTCTTACTTGAGGTGACTGCCTCTTTTTTTGGCATTTTATCAACCTAGATTGATTTATCTTTGTAATTCTTCTTTGGCTCACAGCCATTGCTATTAAATAATTGCCATTCTTCTTAATGCTGACCTCATCAGATGCTTTGAGTATAAAGGAGAAACCCATTGAGAAAAATCAGTTCCTGGTTTCTTGGTTCATCTGGAGATCTGAATTTTTAAATTTGTATAAGGATAGATTGCATTAAAGACAGCACATTCTAAAATCTATAATAGAATAATGAAAAATATAAAGACATCTAATGTTTTAAAGGCATTATATTTCAGCAATGAAACATTGTTTAGTATTTATATTTGGCTCTTTTTTACCTTACTATAGTACAGCATATGTTCTGAGATGGGACATCACTGTTTTTGCCTCATCAACTTGAAACCTCTCTCTAGTCAGCATAAGGCATGTTTTGTTGAATACTGCAATAATATGCTGTTATAACTGGTGGCTGAGTCATCTGTTTTTACAGGATTGGTACTGTAAGGAGCTGAGACATATGTCCCGTGTCAAATTTGAGTGTGAATTTTAAAGTCGAAAATAAAATGAACCCTTGAGCATACTCAAGTGCAAATCACAGCAACCTATGGGCTGAGGGCTTTCATAGCTACTATTTGATTTTTTCCAAGTTGCATTATGATACTGTTGGTATTTTCATGCAGTGAATGGAAAAATACAAGCTCAAAGTTCATTAGTACTGATGAAAAGGATGATATTACGAATTATTCCACTTTCTCTGCGATCAGCTTTAACCCATGATCCTCTGTTTCTGTTCACTAAGGTCTTCATATGCTTGTAGAGTTACCAGTGGTCAAGTGGCCGAATGAGGAGTCAGAGTCATTTTAGCAAGTGGGCACACACCTAGACTGGCTTAGGGACCTTACCCATGAGAGGTCCATGCATCTTTTGAACCTGTTACACTTTTCTACAATGAAAGAATTCATGGCATGAGCACCTGGGTCAGGCATCCAGGGTAAGATTAAGAGCACAGGAGATGCCGATGATGGAAACACATGAAGATCTTCTTCATACCGAAAACACGGAGTTCACTCTGCTATTGCATCATGATTTGACACTAGAACCAGAAAACCTTCTTCAGGGAAGTTGAGTTTGAGAGTGTAGCTGCCCCTAATAGTTCACCTTCATGTCTTCCTAAGGCTCTTCTGTCTCCTACTTAGCCCTGGCCAAGGATGCTTTATAAAACACAATACAATGACAGTCAAAAATAATAGTACTTATAGTATTCGTGAATCCAAAAGTGCAGAGAAACTTCATTAACATAATAGTTAAGAGAAAGCCCCTAAATGTCAGAAAAACATCACAGTGCAGATAAATTAAGTAGAGGCATTTCTATGAGAGCATGACTTTAGGCTAGAGGCAAGATGACCTAGAATGCATGTAAACTAAAATTAGTGGGTGAGAATTAATGTCCAACTAGGGAAAACAAAGAGGGCTTCAGGTTTTTCAAGGGCCCTTTTTCTAGATTAAGAAGGAAATCTGAACCATCCTATCATCAACAGAAGAGTGATTACCTTTGGGAAATGGGTGATGGATTGACTATAATGGGTGCAAGGGGCCTATTGAGATGATAGATACATTCTATATGTTGGTGTGGTCATGGTTCCATGGGCATATATGTAAAATCATAAAATTCGTCATGCAGTACATTTAATATGTATAGACTGTACTGGTGTGAATTGTACCTCAATAAAGGATTAACAGAGCAGAGAAAGGGTAAAAGTGGGGTAGTACCTTGATTTTATCTATCTCCCAAGAATAAGAATAAACAATTCCTTAATGCAACATTATCTCAATTTGTTCTCTCACACATACAAAAAGCATTAAAACCCTTTCTTGTTTGCTTTTTCATATTAACCTAGTTTCTCAAATGTCCTCTTTGTACAGTGTTATGTAAACAGCAGCTCATGATTAGCTATGTGGCTCTGCAACTGCCCTCATAAACTCCGTCTCCAAACTTTATGATTATATTGGCTTAATTTAACTTGATAATAATGATAAGGGTGATAGCTAATGTGCATTCAGCACTTAATGTTGCAGGCACTGTGGTTATATACACACACTCATGTAATCTTCTTAACAACCTTTAGGTACAATAAATACGTATATTTTTCTTACGAAAGAATACTGACGCTTAGCCAGGTTGAGCAGCCAATGCTGCTCACATTGTGAAATGTGACAGAAATTTACGTCTGTCTGTTATCAAAGCTCAATCTTAAGCTCTCTGGAATGCACCACCTTCCAACATCCTCCAAGTTCTCTTGTAGAAGCACATCTTTCCTTGCAACTTGGGCTTTTATTGCTTTTTACTTTTTACATGCTTGGGGATGAAAAGTTTTGGGAAGGAATATTAATTCAAAATAATTTACCTTACTTTGGTGACCATGAGGCGTCATATGAAAAGCAAAGTGTAATTCAAAGCGTCAAAACTATAAAGTTTAGCAAAGAGGGGCCATATTTTCTTTCAGATTTCATCTCTGAGCTATGAGATGAAATCTGAAAGAAAATATGGCCCCTCTTTGCTAAATTATGTTTTAATTCACATAAATTTTCTAGTTCACAGAAGTTTTTCCTTTCAGCATAAACATTTTAAAAATATTTTAACCATCTTTTACAAATGCAAAATATAGCCTGAATATGTTCTAACTTCTTAAACAGAGCACAGCTTCTACCATGTATTAATTCATACTCAGGGACATGGATAGAACTGGAGATCATTATGTTCCGTGAAATAAGCCAGGCACAGAAAGACAAACATTGCATGTTCTCAGTTTTTGTGAGATCTAAAAATCAAATCAATTGAATTCATGGACATAGAGAGTAGAAGGGTGGTTACCAGAGGCTGGGAATTGGATAGAGGTGAGGGTGGTTAATGGGTACAAAAAAAATAGAAAGAATAAATAATACCTACTATTTGATAGCACAGTAGGGTGACCATATTCAATAATAACTTAATTGTACATTTTAAAGTAACTTAAAGATTGTAATTGGATTATTTGTAACTGAAAGGATAAATGCTTGAGGAGATGTCTACCCCATTCTTCATGATGTACTTATTTCACATGAAATGCCTGTATCAAAACATCTCATATACTCCATAAAGATATACACCTACTATGTACCCATAACAATTAATTTAAATAATTCTTTTAATCATAATAATTTGTACTTGGTATCTCTTCCTGGTGAGAAATTCTGCCATCATATTGTGAGATGTTTGGACATTGTTAAGATATGCTGGATTCTTGAACCCTCTCCAGAATGCCTCAGGTTGATATAGAATTATTTTGGCTACATCATATCTCCTTTCATCCACTTTTCCAATATCCTTATGCTATTTATTGAATTTCTGCTTTAAACTTCCTTTGGGCTAAAGAGAATGATAATATACAATAGAGTTCAAAACATAAATAAAGCCTTTCTGAATAATTTTCAAATCAGAATAATTAAAAGGAGGACCTGACAGCTTCTCCCATGAGGAAAATGCAGATTTTATTTTTTTCCCCGTCTCCCTTTTGTATGAGTTTGTACAATTCAAATTTTCCAAAGGTATTTTTTCCCTTTGCATCCTATACTTGAGTTGTTATGATTATCTGAATAGATAATATCCAGGTAAATATTTTATTGTGACTTAAAAATATTACCTGCTGAGTAGAAATTGACAGAAATTGATTATTTCTGTCAGCTCTTCATTAGATGTCTTAAATCTTTAAAAGGCCACAGCAGTGGATTTCTTCAAGACTGGTCTCCAGGCAACAGGGTTTCCAGGCAGATACTCTGTGGACACAAAAGTGAACAGAAATGAGATGGTAAATTTGGAATAGGGAAGAATTTCACATATATACAAATATTACATTGTCTTGAAGAAATTATTTAAAAGGAAAATTTTCAATCTATAATTAATTTTTTAAATTAAATATGGGATTTTTAGTTATTCATTCAAGATTTGTTTAATAATATTTTAATTTTTACCAAGAAAATACTCAGTAATATACTCTTTAAATAGAGTTTTGATTTAATTTTGATCAAATAACTCAAATTACTGGTTTTTTTTTTTAAGAATGAAACAAGTGACTAAGAAGGCAGGATTTAGATATTTGCAAGTATGTCCCCCACTCAAGAACAGGTTCCAAATTATCTCACTAACGTCCTAGATAAATGAAGTCTCTCCAAGTGCTTTAAATGGTGTTAAAATTACTCTACCAAAATTAGAATTATTGTCATAGAGACTGATTGTTTTGTGAACTACAGCACAGCTCTAAAATTGAGCCTTGTGTAAAAAAGAAATGATAACATTAAGGCCACCATGAGTTCCATCTGCTTTTATTTTCCTTGTTCCACCTAGGTCCAGAATGAAGTATAACATAGATACTTTTGACTATAGCAAATACATTTAGATCACATCTATAGGGAAGAACACAAATGTTTTGACAAAAATAAATTAGCTCATGTGAATAAAAAAGAAAAAGAAAAAATACATCACAGAAATATTCATCTATTGGAGCAGACTACCACCTGTTTCATATATAATATAAAAGATAAGAGAACTTAAGTCTCTCCCTCTTACATTCGCTATAGCTCACTGGCATATTACAACATAGAGACAAGCAATAGAAAGCAGAAAATATGTGGAGCTAACCATATTATATAAGGAGACTTATGAACACCTGCTTATGTATACAATGAATCGGAGTCCTCTAGAAGAAATAGACACTGTCATATCTTGCCCTTGCGTGTGTCAAGACCAGGATAAATTGTAAGAGCCAAAATAATTTATTCTTTACTTGCTGGAGAGTTCATAGCCTGAAATAATTTGTGTATAGGAAGAAAGCAGTGACTTTAACTTTCTTTAAATTTATTTAACTTCATAAGTGACTTATTATTCTCTTACTGCTTTATAAATGTAACTAAAGTAACTATCAGTTACTCTTCCTGTCAAATTTTCTATGCATTTTTGCCCACTCCCTGACTGTCCTCTTAAGCAAACAGCATTCATATATCCACTTCATCTCCTTTGTAAGAGAAAAAAAATGGCTGTCCTCAAGTCTATACATAGCAAGTAAATTCTGCCCATGCTGCCTTTTGCATTGGGGAGCAGAGTATCTTTGATCTATTTGGCTTGATTCAATTTCTGAACATCTTTGTCTTTAGTCCTTTCCCTTCCTATATGGGCTTTTCTAAATTTCCAAGACACACTGATTTCATTAGATTTGGGGTATATAAATTAGTGCTTTATTTGTAAAGTTAAGGATTAAATATTTTAGAATGCAAAAACTATTTCACTACTAATGTCCTGGAGTGACAGATTTTTTTTACTGCTTTTATTTTTCTACTCAGATATTATACATATTTCTTTCTACCCTAAGGTATTGAAGCACTAGGGAGAGCAAGCCAAGATCCTTTGGTGTATGTTTTTATCCCTATTCACTAAAATACACTTATCCTTTGACACTTTTACTCATTACCTCTCTTTCTCTCCTGGTGTGCTCTTCATCTGCAGTACACTTTACAAACTGTCATTAATTCTTACAACACTTCAGAGAGGTAGATAAGTGGGTATGACTGGTCAGGTATTCATTCAGTCTAACTGTAGGAATCCTTCCATCGAGATAACATAAAATGTAATTGGGACCCATTATCTCCACTGTACAGATGACGAAAATGAGACCAAAAGATTAAGTTGTGAACCAAGAGGAGAAAGAAAGTCCTTGTCAACAGAGTGGGAAAGTCTTTGCAATTCCAGTTTTCAATTCTGAGTCTTTTGTATTTACCATGTTACAGACCTCTCTTGGCTAGGAAAACAAATGGAATGTGAATGTGATGCTTTAGAAAGTTCTATCTAAAACTTTCTGTAAGAATTAGAAGTGACAAAATTAACCAAATGCATTGCACAACATGATTTGTGTCTTAAGTTTAGCACTAGAGAACTAGGGAAGCATCTATTCAGAACAGGCCTTCCCCATCTTACTGATTTTATTCTAAGGAAATAGGTCACTCAATAGGATTTCTTAGAGGAAACGTCCATCCTTTCCTCTGAAAAATCTAAATAGTACATGGTACAACTATGATGCTTAATAGATAAGCAAAACACAACTTGGTCCCACTATATGCTTTACAGGAAATTTTCTACCCTCATGGAAGTTTCACACATCTATGACTTTCCTGCTAACTCTTAATCCTCAAGTCTTCTACATCTCAAAATACTGTAATTCAGAAATTTTTAATGTGTAATCTAAGATGTCAGTAAACATTTCCGACTCCATGCAAGGCTTATCCCCGTCTTCCAGCTGAGGCTAGCAGTCAATGGGTCACCTGCTTTTGGGGAGAAGGGTGTTCTCTCTCAATTGCTCTCTTTTCCCACCCATTTCCCACCCAGAAGTCCTTCCCACCCCCAGTGCAGAGCCACTAGTGTGAGAGCTGTGGTTAGGGAGAGAGAGAGAAAAGAGGAAAGTTCTTGGTCAGCTCCCATTAAATACTGTCCTAAACTGCTGGGCCTCTGTAATAGCAGCCTCCAGGACTTAGACACAGCCTCTCCCCTGCCAGCCTGGAAGCACTGCTGGCATCCACTACAAGCATCTGCTTTCCCTTCCTCCCTGCACCACTTCCGGGCCTTCCATCATCCACTTCACAAAGACTCAGACTCTCCTATTGTAGCCCATTGCTCTACCAGGTGGTACTCTCAGGACATAGAAGAGTTCCAGGCTGACTCTATCCTATGGGGCCTACATTTGATGCATGGATAGTCCAACTTCTTGCCTGTTATGGGCTGAATGTTTATGTCATCGTAAAATTCATATATTGCAGTCCTAACCCCCAATGTGATGGCATTAGGATGGTGGGGCCTTTAACAGAGAATTAGGTTTTGATAAGACATCAGGAGGGTGGACCCCTGACCATGATGGGATTAGGATACTTAAAAAAAGAGGAGGAACCACCAAAGCTTCTTCTCTATGCCGTGTGAAGACACACAAGACAGTGGCCAGAAAGTAGGTCCTCACGAAGAATCGAATTTACCTGCACCTTGATCTTGGACTTCCCAGCCTCCAGAACTATGAGAAATAAATGTCTATTGTTTGAATCACCTAGCCTATGGTATTTGTCATAGAGTCCAAGGTAACTAAGACCTTGCCCAATTTGGGTGGAGTATAAATTTCCCCACCCAAACCCTTTCCGGTTCTCTCCCTGTACTACCATAGACCCCTTCACTGCAAAAAAAAAAAAAAAAAAAAAAAAGGTGGGGGTCTCATCATTGTTCCTCTTTTTCCCTTTCCAGTTTTCCTTTCCACTGCTCAAAAATGTAATCCTTGTGCTCGCTTCGGCCGCACATATACTAAAATTGGAATGATACAGAGAAGATTAGCATGGCCCCTGCGCAAGGATGACACGCAAATTTGTGAAGCGTTCCATATTTAAAAAAAAAAAAATGTAATCCTCCTCCAGCTAGTCTGATCCACTCACTGATCAGCTGGCATTCCGCGTGCACTCAAACCTAGCAGCCTTTCACAAACATAACCTCCTGGTTGTCTGTCCAACCTCATTTCCAGCTTCTCTCTCACAAATATTGTTAGGTCCTGCACTACTGGACTTGTGCAGTGACCCAAATGAACCAGCTTTCTCCTTTCCTTCTGCCTGTGTTTTGCTTTTGCCTTGCTGTATTAGTTACCTGTGGCTGCCATAACAAATTACCAAAACACTCTAACTTAAAACAACAGAAATCTGTTCTCTTGAAGCTCTGGGGACCAGAAGTCTTAAAACAATGCGTCAGCAAAGCCATACTCCCTCTAGAATCCCTAGAGGAAAAACCTTCCTTACCTCTTCCAGTTTCTTTGCTGTCAACATTCCTCAGCTCATGTTGAAATCTCTGCCTCTACAGTCACGTGGCCTTCTTTTTCTGTCTGTCACCTCTCCCTTGTGTGTCTCTTATAAGAATACTCATCACCATATTTAGGGCCCACCCAGGTAATCCAGTATGAACCCTACACCTCAGGATCCTCAATGTAATTATACCTACAAAGACCCTTTCCAAATACGGCAACATTTACAGGTTCTGGAAATTAGGACATGCACGTATCTTCTGGGGGACTGTTCCTTTCCTCACATCAGTTACCATAGCAGCCTCCCAATTGGTGTCCCTGTCTCCATTCTTGAATTTTATTATCTATTTTTCATTCTATGAACATCATTTTGAAACACAGCTGATATGGCCTGTGTCCCCACCCAAATCTCATCTTGAATTGTTCCCATAATCATGCATTGTGGGAGGGACCCAGTGAGAGGTAATTAAATTATGGGGGCAGTTACTCCCATGCTGTTCTCGTGAGTTCTCATGATATTGATGGTCTTATAAGGGGCTTTTCCCACTTTGCTCAGCTCCTCTCTCTCCTTCTGCCAAGTGAATAGGACGTGTTTGCTTCCCCTTCCCCATGATTGTAAGTTTCCTGAGCCCCCGCCCCCACCTCACCAGTCATGCAGAACTATGAGTCAACTAAACCTCTTTGCTTTATAAATTACCCAGTCTTGGGTGTGTCCATATAGCAGTGTGAGAATAGACTAATACAACAGCTCAACCCTTCCCACTGATATTCTTATATTCCAGTCTTCATGTTAGCCTGGCTCATAAGACCCTTCATAAGCTAGACTTAATTCTCCAAGCCCATCCACAACCATTTATCAAACATGCTCCTACTGTCAAAACTGAATACAGAACTTGCTGTATTGAATTTGTCTCTCTTAAAACAGGCTTGTGCTCTTTTGCCTTCCTACTGGCTGTTTCCTGT